CTAATAAATGACCTTAAAATTGTGCACCTCGTGCATCACCCGTGTTCACATTTTGGCCTATTACAGGTCACGTACTATATATATCCCGTACATTTTTTTTATTCATTTATACAATTATAAGAATTGATAAATGACCTTAAAATTGTGCACCCCGTGCATCGCACGGGCTTTGTACTAGTACTTTGAACAAGTGACAATACAATAAGTTATTGATGGCTCCATAAGAAAACCTTTCGATGGTTCCATAGAATTTTTGTAGCTGCAAATAGGATTGTTAATGCGAACAAATGATCGTTGGAGCTCATTCATTTGTTAATCGAGCCCAATTCAATAAAAATCAGGCTGATTTAATAATAGAACAAATACGAGCTCAAAAATTGAATAATTATTCGTGAATATTAATTTAGTATAATAAATTTTATTTCATTATATATTTACATAATATTTTTAATAAAAAATAAAATAACAAATATTTTTATTTTCGAACTCGTGTTCATATACGCATTCAATGTTTTTTGAGTACAAATTTTGTTCGAGCTCATTTAATTGTCCCTTAAAATTTGGGTTCGTTGGTGTTCGAATGTTTTAACACATATTTGTAAATTGATAATATTTATATAATATACAAAAGAATAGCATGTATACTCAAAGAACTCTATATGTATGTATAACTAGTGCTGTAAACGAACCAAATCGAACCGAGCCTAAGATTTTCGATCTCAAGTTCGACTAATTTTCGAGCTTGTTCAAATTCGTTCGTTTACTAGTTGAGTCTAAATTTATGTTCGTTTCCATTCATTTGGTTGTTCGTCAATTTCATGTTGCTCTTGTAGTTAACCGAAATTATTTTAATTTTTGGAGTGCTGGATTATCTCAAATGGTTCAAATCGATCGAATTTAAAGACTAAAGGGATTCTACCAAATCTCCAACCAAATTTGTCTCCTTCTGAACCCATTTCCATATTTCAATTTTTCTTTTTCATTGAAATATATGTTATGCGCTTGTGTTCTCTATTAGAAAGATGAAGTCAATAAATTTACAACTATTTGAGTTCGATATGGACCTAATAAATTTTCATGTTCTCCATGG